GGAATGCCAGTGAGCCTAAATTTTTCCAACAAGTTGTTATCCCTGGTTCTTGTTCTCTCACCCTCATAGACTTGAATCAAGACAGCAGGTTGGTTGTCTGAGTAAAAATACTTGTTCCTTCTTGGTGGGTATTGTTGAGTTTCTTGGGATCAAAACAGTCATGACCTCTCCTGCAGTTTCCAACCCAAGGGAAAGAGGGGTAACATCCAAAAGCAACAAGTCCTGCACCTTCTCGTTGCCCTCTCCAGTCAAGATGGCAGCCTGAACTGCAGCACCATATGCAACGGCCTCATCTGCGTTAATGTTCTTGCAAAGCTCCTTTCCGTTGAAGAAGTCTTGCAACAACTGTTGCACTTTTGGAATCCTAGTTGAACCACCAACAAGCACAACATCATGGACAGTGCTCTTGTCCATCTTAGCATCTCTCAAACACTTATCAACGGGCTCTATACACTTTCTAAAGAGATCCATGTTAAGCTCCTCAAATCTGGCACGAGTAATGGTTGAATAGAAATCAATACCCTCATACAAAGAATCAATCTCGATTGTTGTCTGAGCAGTAGATGAAAGGATCCTCTTAGCTTTCTCACAAGCTGTCCTTAATCTCCTAAGAGCTCTGCGGTTTTCACTAATATCCTTCTTGCTCTTTCTTTTAAAGTCCTCAACAAAGTAATTCACCATCCTACTATCAAAATCTTCACCGCCAAGATGAGTGTCTCCAGCAGCAGTGGCGGATTTACTTAATGACGAGTGGGGACCACGGCCCCCACTCAAACTTTAAAAAACTTCGACGGTATAAATATTTATATTTAGTTGTATTTTACCCCATATAAGACTTTGACATTTTGTCCCCACAAATTTTTTTTGTTTATTTTTTGCCCCCATCGAGTGAAATTCCTGGATCCGCCACTGTCCAGCAGTGGCCTTGACATCAAAGATACCCCCTTCAATAATAGTAAGCAAAGATACATCAAAAGTACCGCCACCCAGATCAAAAATCAACACATTCTTTTCACCAACGCCGGCGGCCTTGTTGTCAAGACCATAAGCAATGGCAGCGGCAGTGGGTTCACTGATTATACGCATAACATTGAGTCCAGCAATAAAACCGGCATTCTTAGTGGCTTGACGCTGGGAGTCATTGAAGTAAGCTGGAATGGTAACAACTGCGTTGCTAACAGTTGAGCCAAGGTACGTCTCAGCAATCTCACGCATCTTACTGAGAACCATAGAAGAGATTTCCTCAGCAGCAAACAACTTCTCTTCACCCTTGTGATTAACAAAAATCATGGGCTTGTCTCCAGGTCCGGAAATGACTTTGAATGGCCAAAGCTTGATATCACTCTGAACTGACGCGTCACTGTATCTCCTACCAATCAACCTCTTGGCATCTACAATAATAAACCAGTATTCAGTTAAAAGTCATTATAATCAACCAAAAAAGCAAAACCATAGCTGATGGTAAAGAATGCTTACCAAATACAGTGTTAGTTGGGTTCATAGCAATTTGGTTCTTAGCACTGTAACCAATCAAACGCTCTGTATCAGTGAACGCAACGTAAGACGGTGTGGTTCTGTTCCCTTGATCATTGGCTATGATCTCCACTCTGCCGTGCTGCCACACGCCCACGCACGAGTACGTAGTGCCCAGATCGATACCGATCGCTCGTCCCTCTCCTTTTCGGGCCATTCTGACGAAACAATATTGTGATAAATTTAAATTCTTTGAAAGAAACGAAAGAAAAGAGATTTGTTGTTCGTAATGGTTCAGTAGGCTACTGTTGCATTTATATAATTGCGTTGGGAGATTCGTTTTCGAATGTTTTGTAGTGTCTGACTGTCTGAGGAATTTTCGACCGTCGATTGGAGGCTAATGGACGTCTTAGATATGTTGTTGACTATCTTAATTTCTTCATCATGCTCCAGACGTCACACAGGGTAATGGGAGATTCGTATCTGAATATGTATATTTTTTATTCTATGAGTGAAAATTAATTCTTTATTATAAATTTCTTTTAAAAATTATAATATAAATTATTCGTGAATTTTCAAGATTGCTTTAGTGGTTTTTTTTTTTTTTTTTTTAATATGTGTTAGATGAATTATTTTGTCTTTTTATTATCCGTATCAGTACAATTACAGAAATTACTCTTTCCACTTTTACCTATTGTCAATTGTGAGGGGGCAGAGTGTATATATATATATATATATATTGGTAAACAATGTGTATGAGTCAAGCACCATAACCCTCGCTTACTTTTTGAGCCAGCCACAGTTTTCAACAGTTGAACACTAACGGTGATCGGTGAATTAGTTTATAGGTCGGCGAATATATGGAGGATTAAAGTATGTAAACAATTATTCATTAAAATGGATTGAAAGAATCTTGAATTATTTAATTCCATCTGAAATTCTGGAAAACGGCCACGTATAAAAGAATTTAAAAAAATAATGGACTAAACTAAACTCTATTTATATTTGAGACATAAATTATTTAAAAATGATTTGTTAAGACGTCTTTGAGTAGAATGAAATGCTTATGAGATAATACAACTTTTATATTTGAATTGACATGACAACTGCCTAACAACAAAGTTTAACATATTCATTAAATCGGATTGAGAGAATTGAATTATATATATATGAACTCATTTCCCTTTACAATATTCTAAATATATTCTTTCTACATATCAAAGAATATTGTGATCCTCTTGACTTATCAGGTATGAACTGATCAAGGATTTTATTTAGTTCCCTTTATTATATTTTTAAATTTGTGGATAATGGCCACATATAGAAAATAAATACAAAAGTAAAACCAATTATAAACTGATAAGAGTAGTGGTTCAACACTTGAACTATGCTTTGGCGTGGGTTTTTCATATTCTCATTTATATCCTTGTTTCTATAAATATATTCTACATATTATACAACCTTAGCCATCACAAACATGGTTGCCAAATCGCGTATCATATCGTGTATCAAAAACCTAATTTTTTTAATCATGTATCGTGTATCGTATCGTATCATAGGATACGTCTTTTTTAAAAAAATTAATAAAATAATCAAAATTTTTAAAAAATTAATATAATTCCCAAGATTAATTAAAAAAATTTGTGGTATTATTGACTTTAAATTATGGTATTACATAATCAAAATTAATCATAAAATTAAGAATTTATATTATTTTCTCTCAACCATTCATATCATTTCTAAGATCAATGTCAATATTTATATCTCTACTTATATTATTATTATCATGTAAAATAGGTAACACATATTCCTCTTTACTTTCTCCATGCAAAATGGGTAAATTTAGACAGGTTTTAATGAATCGGGTTAGGTGACCCAGTTTCGACCCAAAAATTTTTTTGGGCCTTTGGCCTAAATTAATAAAGTTGTATCGATCTATATCGATATTTTTAAGGATACGAATGTATACGTATCGTATCGTAGGATATATATCAACGTATCGAAAGGTTTAGGATACACTTTCTAATACGTATCGTTAGCGACCTGTATCGAATCGTATCTTATGATACGTATCAGGTATCATAGGATACTAACAACCATGATCACAAATATTATCAAAGTATTTTCCTTATAATCTCCTACTATTGTGTTATGATCAAATCAGAATAAATTGAGATTATAAATAAAGATAAATTATAAGTTCAAAAAAGTAAAAGTTAACATCTTTAAACTGATACAAGTACTTACCATAAAACAGTGTTCATTGGGTTCGTGGGCACCTAGTTCTTCTACGTTGGTGAACGCCACATATGATGGAGTTGTACGGTTGCCTTGTCCATTGAGTACGTTGTCTCCAGATCTATTCCGATCGTCGGTCCATATGTATTTTCATCCATTGTCTCTAAGAATTTTTGCCTTCAGAGAACTGCCTACTGGGCTACTGGTTAAAATATAAGCCCCACTCTATTGTGGGCTACTGGGCTCGTTTCCTCCATTGTCTTAAACTAACTAATGCGGTCTTGATAATAAAGGAGAGCAAGAGAATTGTCTTTATAAATATTTGGGCAACGACAAATTGTTAAATTTCTAGTTGAATGGTTCAGTGATAGATATCCTAAAAAGTTCAATTTTAATCACACTAAAATTAATCAATTTTAATTAATATTATATGATTTACAAGATGCTATCTATGTCTAGAATTTTCACGTCCGACTTTCAAGCCCATCAGAAATTGGGCTCTCAATTCCAACAATCCAACAGGGTTGGTGTCTGTTCCGTGCAAGCCCATAAGGCCAAATCAACAGCTTTGAACGACCCAATGCCAATGAACGGGCCGCCCATTTGGCCCGAAAAAATTCTGGTATAAATCCCTCTTTTTCATCTCTGCTTTGGTGTGAAAGCAAGCACAAACAATGAACTACAAAGGCAAGATAAGTGGACCCCCACCACCATATTCATCTCCTTAAAATCAATTTAAACTAAGCAACTTAATTTAATTAGAGGCATGTGAGTTGAACACTACTCCTAAATAAATATTTTGGAATCTCCCTTGAGAATCTTCATGCGCAATGCACGTGAGCCACTGTTGAAGAACATATTATTGGACATTAGTTACATCCCATATGTATTAGAATTTGTTGCCTTGAGAATAAAAGATGTATCAGGAGACTTATAGTTATGGTACCATCATGGTATTGTTAACATGATACCATAACTTATTTCATACATATAAAGTACTAATTGTATTTAATAATTATTAATCATAACCAACTTCAAAAAGATAAAAGAGAAAAATTAAGATGTATTATAAATTTATTAGATGATGGTATAAATGATGTACCACTATGGTATTCTATAATTTTATTTTCGTATTAATATAAATCATCATTAATCGATTTTCTTGTAAAGTTAAATAATAGCTATACAATTTTTTTTATAATGCATGAAGAGGTAAAATATATAACACGATTAATGCAAAATCTACAACCTTCTCTCACAACCTTCAACGTGATAATTCGTCGTTGTTCAATTTGTAAAGTGAGTTTTACCTACTCATTTACGAGCTAACTGATGATGAACTACCTACCAAACTGAAGTTTGTGAGAGGAAACTGTAAAATAACACACATTCACACATTTATTAACATGTTAATTGTTAAATAAGGAAACATACAACAAACATTAACTCTAAAGGGTCACAACCTATGGCACAAAGCAAAGCACATAACACGAAGGAGAGGCTTGACAAAACAAATGTAAAAGGATACAACATCAAGCTGAAGAGGCTTGACAAATGACAACTGACACAAAACAATATCAGTTAATGAACTGACCGACAAAGAGACCGATGCCTGGGCCTAGAAGAGTACTCCCCAACACTTTCAAGAACATAGTCACTATCTTGTAAAACTTGTCGCATTTCACTCTTTTTCGTTTCAGGACACCTTTAATATCCCCACCATTCAGTTTCTCCATTAACATTTGTGTCGAGCAATGGACGTGAAAATTATATTTCTTGCATGCGGAGACATAGGACCACCCACAGTTGCCGGTTACACTACCTTCAAGCCGCTTATGATTGCACCAAATGCACTTTGATGATAACTTCTTATGACGATCATGAAGCTTAAACTCAATACCCTCAACCTCAAAATTAAGTGGAAGGTTGAAACAACATGGATGAAAATTGCACTTATTCTCTTCACAGTAGTACACAAAACCATTTGCAGGTGTTGCACATGCCTCACAGTATTTGTGACACACTCTACAACCAGGACGGCAGTTCCCAGGAAGTTCACGGTAAAATATGAAGGGGGATTTTCCAAAGAATTCATGGTGGAGAAGAGGTCTGGTTTCCTTGCAGTCTTTATGAAGATCAAATTTGCATTGCTCACATCTGTGTCTTAATCCAGACCCTGGCATCTTGCAGCCATGGCAAATGTATTTTTTATTGTTTTCCAGCTCTATGAGTTCATGATGATGATCCGGGTGGCCGGAATGAGCTGCCATAATTATGCTTTCTAAATGGTCACCTGGTACGACGAGGGAATTGAGATGAAAAATTAATACAAATAAAAGACATATGGATGTTGAACGAAGATGGAAGTCTACAACAGAATGGAAGATGGACAAAAATTCAAATAACTGTAGCCAATATTGTTAATCTTGGTACCTTTACCACCGAAAAGAGACAGACGAGGGTCACCATTCATGGCTCCTAAAAAGTCAGCTTCCGTAAGAATAAAGACTCTCTCAAGCTCTCCTTTTTTTTTCTTGAACTCATCTATCTCGGAAAGTTGGTTGAAATCAACACTTTGAATGGCCGCGTTAATGGCACTGTCAATTTTCCTCTTAGTAGCTGGGGTCAGATTTGAACAGTCTTGGACATTATCTTTCATGGTATAGGAAAACATTTGCAAGTCAGTCTTGGCCTTAATCTTCTTCTTCGTCACTTCATCTTCAGCCTTGTACTTTAAAGTATCCTGCACCATTTTCTCTATTTCTTCCTTAGACAACCTACCCTTGTCATTGGTGATTGTTATATTGTTCTTCTGGCCGGTTGTTTTGTCCTCAGCTGAGACAATCAAGATACCGTTTCTATCAATAGAAAAGCAGACACTGATCCGAGGAACGCCCTTTTGAGCTGGGGGAATACCAGAGAGCTGAAATTTTCCCAGCAAATTGTTATCCCTAGTTCTTGTTCTTTCACCCTCGTAAACTTGTATCAAGACACCAGGTTGGTTGTCTGAGTTGGTCGTGAAAGTTTGCTCCTTCTTAATGGGAAATGTCGTGTTCCTTGGGATCAAAACAGTCATGACACCACATGCTGTTTCCAATCCAAGGGACAAAGGGGTAACGTCCAAGAGAACCAGATCCTGTACCTTCTCACTTGCCAAGATGGCAGCCTGAACGGTAGCACCGTAGGCAACAGCCTCATCTGGATTAATGTTCTTGCAAAGGTTCTTTCCGTCGAACAAGTCCTTCAGCAGTTGTTGTATCTTGGGAATCCTCGTAGAACCACCAACAAGAACGATATCGTCGACGCTACTCTTGTCCATCTTAGCTTCCATTAAACACTTCTCCACCAAATCTGTACACTTCTTGAAGAGATCCTTGTTGAGGTCCTCAAATTTGGGACGAGTAATTGTTGAATAAAAATCGATACCCTCATGCAATAAGTCAATCTCAATTGAAGTCTGAGTAGTTGACGAGAGAATCCTCTTTGCTTTCTCACAAGCAGTTCTCAATCTCTGTAGAGCTCTTGGATTACCACTCATATCTTTGTTGTTCTTTCTATTAAACTCCTCAACAAAGTGATGCACCATTTTTTTATCGAAATCCTCACCACCAAGATGAGCTTCGCCCGCAATGCCCTTCACAGTAAAGTTACCATCAGAAATGGAGACCAGAGACACATCAACAGTACCACCACCCAAATCAAAAATCAACACGTTGCTTTCACCATTACTAGTAGACTTCTTATCGAGACCATAAGCAATGGCAGCAGCAGTAGGCTCGTTAATGATTTGCATAACATTGAGGCCGGCAATTACACCAGCATCCTTGGTGGCCTGACGCTGAGAGTCATTGAAATAAGCTGGAACAGTTATAACTACATCCTCCACAGTAGAACCGTAATAATCCTCAGCAATTTTACGCATTTTGGTGAGCACCATAGAGGAGATTTCTTCACATGCCAGCTGCTTTTCTTCACCCTTGTGGGTAACCACAACCATTGGCTTGTTATCTGCACCGGCGATAACCTTGAATGGCCAATACTTGATATCACTCTGGACTGATGGATCATCGAATCTCCTTCCAATAAGCCTCTTTGCATCTAGATTAGTAGATAGATAAACACTCAGTTAATACACACAGCTCTTTAGACTCTTTGCACAAAGACGGACTTATTTATAAAAAAATAAAAAATAAAAAATAAAATCCAACAATCAGCGGTTTACGATTCTCAACCTGGAAAAATATATTCAGTAGTACTTTTGCATTTGATTCTCTGTGAACAATATAACAATGATCTTATAAAAAGAAAAGGTCCATGTTTCTTCAAGTAGATGAAAACCCAACTAAGTGAAGGTAAAAGACGCTTACCATAAATGGTGTTTCTAGGGTTCATGTTTGTTTGGCTTTTGGCAGCGTCCCCAACAAGACGCTCTTGTTCATTGAATGCCACATAAGAGGGCGTGGTCTTGTTCCCTTGATCATTGTGTATGATCTCTACTTTGCCATCCTCCCATATACCGACACATGAATAGGTAGTCCCTAGATCGATTCCGATCACCGGTCTGTATCTTTCTCTGGCCATTCTTATGCTAGAGATAATAAGAAAGAATTGACTTCTGTAGTGAATTGAAAGGAAAGCATGCATTAACGGAATCTAGCTTGTATATATCTAAGTCGCTGTTTTGACTTGTCTAACTTATTAATTTGGACGTGGTCGTTACGCCTTATCTAATGCATAATATAAAAAAGGTGTATTTGTAAACATACACTTTGAGACGCAACCTCTAGAAAATTTTGGTCTTTCTAGAAATGAAAAAGACATGAAACCCCCACCATTTCCACAACAATTAATTAATGGCCTCAACATGACTTTTAAGCCAGCCACATTTTTCAACAGTTGAAAACTAACGATGAATTAGTTTACAGCTTGGCGAATGCGTTTTCAATATTTGAGACATAAATTATTAAAAAAGGATTTGTTAAGACGTCTTTGAGTAAAATGAATTGCTAGTGAGATAATACAACTTTTAAATTTGAATTGACATGACAACTGCCTAACAACTTAGTTTAACGTATTATTATTGGATTAAGAGAACTGAAATAACTATAACATAAGTATAAATGAACTAATTTCCCTCTACAATATTCAATATATTCTTTATACATGCCAAGAATATTGTAATCCTCTTGACTTATCAGGTATGAACTGAGAAAGGATTTTATTTAATTCCCTTTATTATATTTTTAAATTTGTGGATATTGGCCACGTATAGAAAATAAATACAAAAGTAAAACCAATTATAAACTGATAAGAGTAGTGGTTGAACTGTGCTTTGGCATGGGTTTTTCATATTCTCATTTATATCCTTGTTTCTATAAATATATTCTGCATATTATACAGCCTTGGCCATCACAAATATTATCATAAGTATCTTCCCGGCCTTATAATCTCCTACTATTGTGTTATGATCAAATCATAATAAATTGAGATTATAAATAAAGATAAATTATAAGTTAAAAAAAAAAAAAAAGAGTAAAAAGTTAACATCTTTAAACCGATTCAAGTACTTACCATAAAGGGTGTGTTTGGTTGGGGGTTATATGAGATTACTAAGGTAATGTCACCTTATATTTTTTTATTACCATATTTGGTTGTTAAATGATATAAGATTCCGATAATCTTCTAATATTAATAATAGTTACTGTTGGTAATATTGGTGGTAATCTAATAGCCTCCATTTTTATAGGTATTTTAAGATTATTTGGTTATCATATTTTTGTTATTTTTTTATCCTTTATTAATAAAATTTTAGGACAATAATGTCCTTGTTTTAAATTTCACAAAAATACCAATTGACTATTTTATTATTATATATAAAGTTTTTAGGACATAAATACCCCTGAATTATACAAAATAACCCAAGGGTGGTCTAGCCATCACCGATGGCGGTGATGGAATGGCGCACGATCTGGCCGATCGTGCGCCAATAAGGCTCTTGAACTCAACAGGTATAAATAGGGAGTTCCTTTTTACAAAATTGAGATCAGACACTTTAAATTTAATAAAGAAAACAACAAAAACATACTACTAGAAAAAGACTGAGTTGATATTCTCTAAGAATATTTAGAACACTAAGTACCTGTAAATCAGATCGCAGTGTACGACCTCTTGTAATCTTGACTAATAACCAAGAACTCACTAATATATAAGAAAACAGTGAATATATGAATCGCTTTAAGTATCCGAATCATTATAAAAACCTTTATTGTTTCATTTATCTTACGTCTTTGTTTGCTACTATAAGAATAATACTTCATTTAACTCTCATAATCATTCACATATAATTTTTAGAACTTTTCTAATACTTTACATATATAAATTTATTAGTGTTAAAATCAAGCATCAATGGTATACAAAACACCACTAAAAAAAAATAATGGAATAAAAACTTGTCTTAGACTAAATATAAATGCGCTGATAATGACATTATAGTGGTAGGCGGTGGGTATCGTCAAAGAGTCACTAAAGATATTAACGAAGCAACTTCCATGTGAATCCAAAAGTTAGGCCTTGAAATTTGATACATTTGATTGTACTATGTCATCAATTATAAGTTAAAAGAAGCCAAAAAGAAAAAAGGGATCTATTAATCCTACACATATATTATTTTGATATAATATTTTTTATATAATATTACATGAAATAATATAATTTGATAAAAGTTTAATTTTAANGCTTTTTTCATATTCTCATTTATATCCTTGTTCCTATTAATATATTCTGCATATTATACAGCCTTGGCCATCACAAATATTATCATAAGTATCTTCCCGGCCTTATAATCTCCTACTATTGTGTTATGATCAAATCATAATAAATTGAGATTATAAATAAAGATAAATTATAAGTTAAAAAAAGAGAGTAAAAAGTTAACATCTTTAAATAGATACAAGTACTTACCATAAATGATGTGTTTGGTTAGAGGTTATATGAGATTACTAAAGTAATGTTATCTTATATTATTTTATTACCACGTTTGGTTGTTAAGTAATATAAGATTCTGATAATCTTCCAATACCAATAATAGTTACTGTTGGTAATATTAAAGGTAATTTAATAGTCTCCATTTTCATAAGTTTTTCAAGATTATTTGGTTATCATACTTTTATTATAATTTTACTCCTTATTAATAAAATTTTAGGACAATAATGCCCTTGTTTTAAAAACAATTCACAAAAATACCAATTGACTATTTTATTCTTATATACAAAGTTTTTAACACATAAATATCTTTGAATTATACAAAATTACCCAATGGTGGTGGCACCACTGACGGCGATGATGGAATGTCGCACGACTGGCCATATCTAGCCGACCGTGCACTGATAAGGCTGTTTTCGACCATGAATCTGTGATCCATGGCTAGAAACAGCCAGATCTAGCCTTTCACAACTAGATATCTAGCCTTGAAAGGTCTGATCTTTGGCTGTGAAACAACCATCGTTTCATAGCCACTTTCATTGTCGTAGCGGTGGTAACAGGCCGCAGGCACTAGCTTGGGGTAGGTGAGGATATTTTTGTTAAGTTTTAAGTTTTTTTTATTGGAGGGTGTTTTAACTAAATCTGAAATGTAAAGGGTTAAAAAGTTATTTAAAAAATAATATTATATTAATATTTAAAAAAGAGGATAATTTAGTAAATTATATAATATATCTACTAATTTATTCCTCACAACCAAACATATTAATATAATATACCCATCAATTTATTCCAAAACACATCTCTCTAGACATTCCCAATAGAAAAATGATATCCTTACAAAGACAATACAAAGAGGGCTATAAAGTGATGCCAACAAAATGGAAAAAACAAAAAAAAAAAAAAAAAAAAAAAAAAAAAACATGAAAAAAGAGAAAGAGATAAATCATGAAGATCAAGGATAGCAATTATCTTTGTATGCCCCGTTTGTATTTATCTTTATAAGACTAGTATTGCTTTTCCCAATAATCTTCAAAATTAATATATCTTTCCATTAATATAACATTTCTAATAATATAACACCACATAAGACGGAGTTGTACGGTTGCCTTGTTCATTGCATATGATCTCTACCCTCTCATGCTTCCACCCAGCAACGCATGAGTACGTTGTCTCCANAAAAAAAAAACATGAAAAAAGAGAAAGAGATAAATCATGAAGATCAAGGATAGCAATTATCTTTGTATGCCCCGTTTGTATTTATCTTTATAAGACTAGTATTGCTTTTCCCAATAATCTTCAAAATTAATATATCTTTCCATTAATATAACATTTCTAATAATATAACACCACATAAGACGGAGTTGTACGGTTGCCTTGTTCATTGCATATGATCTCTACCCTCTCATGCTTCCACCCAGCAACGCATGAGTACGTTGTCTCCATGTCCATTCTGATCACTGGTCCATTTGTATTTTCATCCATTGTCTCTAAGAATTTTTGCCTTAAGAGCAATGTTCTGAAATCCGAACAAGACGAAGAGGATAGTCAGAAGGGCTTGGCTGATGGACTTGTTAGAGTTAAGAGTGAAAATCAATCGAATCAGCCTAGGAGTTTCAAGCTTAGCTCGTCTTTCCTGCTATGATTCCAAACATAGTAACTGTTTAACGGAATGAAAGAGCCTACGAACCTCTGCCGTTGCAGGTACTTTCTTTATTCATGCTAAAGACGGATTGGTTAGATCGATCCGACCGGGTTTTGAAGAGAAAGGTGGTTTACACACTAACAAAAACCGCTTTTAATAATCAGATCGTTTTAAACCGCCAATAAACCGCTTGTCAAATCGGCGGTCCAAGCGGACCAGCCAAAGACCAGTTCAACTAAAATAACCCTAAATTAAACCCATTTCTCCCTCATTTCAATTGGATTTGTGATTTTTCGTCTGAAATTTTTGCTGTCGTTAACCTTATGTTTTTCTTCGGTTCTTTTCTTATTTCATCTTCAGTTCTTCTTTGTTCATCTTCAATCAGCAATCTTCTCCTTTGTTTGCCGCCGGCCGATGAATCATCTTTTCCCTTGCAAGAAATCTTCATCTTCAGCTTCTCTTACCTCACATCATTTTCATTCTTCATCTCCTCTTACCTCACATCATTTTCATTCTTCATCTCCTCTTACCTTACATCATCTTCACCATGATCTTTGTCAATGAGTTGACCATTTTCAGGGTGCATTTGGTGATGGCATGGAAAACTGAAAGGCAAGAAGAAGAAGGAAGTCTGGAAAGTGGAAACAAAGATCCAATGAAGAGAGAGAGAGAGAGAGAGAGGAATGAAGACGTCTGGAGAATGGTGGAGAAGAAGAAGAGAAAAGATAAAATAATCAATGAGAGAGAAGAAGAGGAGTAGTGGAGAAAGGAGAGAGAAGAAGAAAATGTTTATTTATTTATTTATTGAGAAAAGAGATAGATGCAAAGATTTGCAGGAGATTTGAAATTAAGCGAAGAGAAAGGCTTCGTTTGGTTCAAAATTTGGGGGTTTTGGGAAAAGTTTTTTGAAAAAAGTTAAAAAAAAAGTTGAATTGGGCAGGTATTACGATGTAGGATTTATAAATTAATAAAATGCCCCTTATGTTTGTT